CTTCCTTCCTTCCTTCCTTCCTTCCTTCCTTCCTTCCTTCCTTCCTTCCTCCCTTATTTTATTCCTTTTTTCCTTCCTTTCTTCTGAGTGTAATGGTAAGTTATTGAGTAGGGTTAAGCAATGGGATGATATGATTTATTAGAGTTTTATAGATTTCAAAGACAGTGGCACCTCGGTTTTCCAACGTCTCCGTTGACGAGCATTCCGGTTTACAAACCCGGTAAACCTGGAAGTAAATGCTTCGGTTTTCGAACACGCCTCGGAAGTCGAACATGCCCCCCGGCTTCTGCTGAGGGCAAGACCCTGAGGCCCACCTGTCAGCTGTGGATCCCTCGATTTTCCAGCGTTTCAGAGCTCGAACGGTCTCCCGGAATGGATGACATTAAAAAACCGAGGCACCGCTATATAGGCCGAAAATAACAAATTGTCGGGCAATAGTAGAGAAAATTCTAAGGCAAAAGGTGAGGAACCAAAAGGGGAGAAGCCAATCTAGACAGGTTGGATAGAGTACAAAGCTAAGGAAAATCAAGAAGAGGAGAAACTAGACAAAAGCCATTTCAGCCTATTCTGGGAGTGAGGCGTAACTTGAAGGGATGGCCAGACACGAGGACATTTACCACAGAATGGGTCTGGAGATGGCTAGTCAAGCGCTGACTTGGGGTTCTCAAGTTATGCATATTTTTAATTTCTTTTATTGTTTTAGTTTTTATTTTACTTATAAATACTGCCAACCTTGTTTCATTTTCTTTCAGAGTTTCTTTTTTCTTCATGCCAGAGGTTCTCAGACTCTTACATCAGTAAGCTTCTTCTTTTAAGCCAATTTTTAAAAATATATCTTTATTGATTTCAGAGAGAGGAAGGGAGGAGAGAGAGAGAAACATCAATGATGAGTCATTGATCGGCTGCCTCCTGCTCACCCCCGACTGGGGATCCAGCCCGCAACCCGGGCATGTGCCCTGACCCGGAATCGAACCCCAATTGCCTGGATCCTAGGTCGATGCTCAACCGCTGAGCCTCCCCGGGCCGGGCAATTTTTTTCAGTTCTCCCTAGAAAGTGGATCGTGCAAACCAACCACTCTGACTAGTAAATCTGATGACAAGGACTTAGTAAAGCCATTCTCCCTGCTGGTATAGGGAGATCCGGGGAGAATGTGAAAGAGAGGAAACTCATCTGAAAATGTCTTCTATTTTTATAAAATTCAGCTGACAAATGGGTCCACATGACCTGTTTGTATGTACTGTAATGTATTATAAAATTGCCATCTTTATAGGTCAACATAGAATAGCACTACTTCAGGTGGCTCTATCTGATATTTTATCTTAGGTAACTCATTAGGAAGACTACCCTGTATTTATACCCTATTCAAATGATATGTCTGTAAAATAAATGTATACTTTTAAATTCTATCTCTTGAGCAGAAAAAGAAAATTCTCACCAAAGTAATTTTTCCCTGTCCTAACACAAAATCTCAACAAGAGCATTACTGAGCTTTAACCACCAGAGGGAACTAAAAAACTGTCTTTTGCCTCCCCTGCAAGGCTAACTTGTTCAAGTTCCCATAAAATTTTTTAAGAGTTCTAATGAAACAGCCATCTGTTGTTGCCTGAGCTATTATAGATCAGAATGCAAAAATATATTTTTACATGATTTTAACAAATTATTCTCTTCTATTTATCCTCACTATTTGTTGCCTTCCTTAGACAAATTTTAATAAAGATATCATTTGCTTCCTTCTGAAGCAACCAGTAGGGAGCATTATTACCATTTAAAAAAATGAGGACCTTTCTCCAGGCAATGCAGAGTCAGATCAACTAGACCATTATTTTTGATAGACAATCTTGAAAAATTTCAAGAAAATGAACTCCACAATCTACACAGTTAGGACTTTAAATCCAGTGAATTTTTTTTGTTTGATTTGTTTTGTTTTGTTTTAAATGAGAACAAATAATTTCTTATTGAACCAAAATTATTTGGAATAAATAAAATACCCTCACCAATAATGTGTACTTATATAGGATAAAACTCTTAGCGTATAGCCTAATGTTTAACAATTCTGTGATAAACTGTGGGGGTAACTCCCATTGCCTAAATTCAACAAAAAAGTAATTCAAAATGAAAAGTTTAAAATTGAGATACTACCTGATTTTTTAAAAATATTTAAATGTTATACAGTAAAATCATGGATCCAATTCTTTAAAAATAAAATGAAGACTCAATTTTGAAAACCATTCATAATGTGATAAAGAGTAACAGTTCCTTAGCACTTCAAAGACGTTTTTGTTATGAAGAAAAACAGTTTCTCCAGTAAATTTCTCCAGCAGTCTCTGATAAGAGGAAAGGGAAACATCTCCAGATGAAGTGGGGGAGGGGGAGGCAAAGAGAAAAGATTTCTCTTTCCTTCTAATGCCTTTCAGTTTTTGGAAGAAGGGATTGTACAAAATAAATACAAAGAAATCTGTTGAACCCGGGATTTCCAAACGCCGTTCTGGGCAATGTTACTAGTTGTGCTGCCAAAAATAGGGATCATGGTCAAACATATCTGGCAAACAACACAATGCATTCCCTCTTGGAGCAGCAAGCTAACTGGGAAGGTCCTGGAGGTTCTGAGAGGTTCTGGGGTAAGACAACCTGCTCAGCTGTGTTGACGCCAGAGGTTTCCAAACCCCTTCGAAGATAGAATACTTTCTAAATAATCCACAAATACGGGAATTTATATTGATCTCTGTTAAGATCCAGAGGACAGTTGAGGCACTATTTCTTTTCTTTAATCTCCAGGATTATTCTACTTTCATGCATCTCTATTAATTCTCTTCTCTGAAGTTCTCGATGGTTGATTCCTTCTGTGGGTTCTGACTGCTCCCATTTACTGACGGTGGATGGTCTTCTCCCTTATTTGCCATTTTAAATTGTGAACAGAGCTTTCTTTGTGGATTCCGGACAGAGTTCCTGTCTTTCTAGAATTGCTTTTGCATTCCAGCCACCCCAGAAGTAACCAACCTGGTACTATTTTTATGTTGTTTCTGTGCCTTGAGGGTCTGTCAGGGTTCCTAGTGAATACAAGTAGTGTAAATTTGCATCTCAATCCCAAATGAAGGTCAGTGTAGGGTTTTAGATCCCGCAGAATCTAGCCTCCCTGTGGTGTCCCTCTGCTATGTAAATTGTTTTTCCCAGTAACGCATTCCACCGAAGGTCTTACTCTAGCTTTTCATCTTTAGGTGGAAGACAGCAATTCTACCTCTCTGGCTCATCCATTCCCTAGTTTTCCTCCTAAAATGTCGGTCCCTTGTTTATAATATTTGCAGTTTTCCACTTTCGCTGTTTTTTTTCCCTTTTTCTGTATTTTCTGGTCCCTGAAGGTGCCCCTTACTTTCTTGCCAACCAAGCTATGCATGTAAAAGTGAGGATCGGCCCACTGAGCACGGTGTTATGAACGCTGGCAATTCTGTGAGCTACGCAGCGTGCTTTATGAGCACCCCTGAGCTAGAGCTCTGTGCTAGGCACCTGGAACACTAATAGTGTCCCTGGCAACTAAGACCTCACTGCCTCCCAAGACAGCAGACTTTCCAGGGTAGAAACTTGGTTCTAAGCAGCTCTTCTAGAAATCAGAGAAGGCTAAATTGCACTATTAACCCACCATCTCGTTAGGCCTGTCCAGGATGTCAAGGGGGCAAGGGAATCAACATTTTTCTGTGTTAAATGGTGACTTATAGGAAGCTGCCTCCACATTTGACCCTGCAAATCCATTAAAAACCTGGGGGCCTGCCAAAAAGTGCCTTTAAGCTTGGCTCTGTATTAGTTTCCGTGACTTTCCTGTAATGAATTGTAGCTTGCCTGAGTCATTAGGAAGATTCTGACAGGGAATCAGCTGGAAATCTGCTGTTCTTGAAGGACTCAATTTATCTATCTATGATTCAGTGCCTAAGCAGTCAAATAGCTTGGAGGGGTCAGCCAGGCAAAAGAGCCGGCAACTGTCGGTTTGATTAAATTGCAGGTATGTGCATTGACTTTTAATATATGCATCAAACAAACTTGAGCCAAGAAAATAACTACTTTTCATGCCACATTTTGCTCGCTCCTTATTCAGCATTCCAGGCAAGGGTTAATTGAAAGCTGTTTGTTGGCTCTGTGGCTAAATCACTGGCCTAAATTGACAGAGTGAAGCTGTACTTTAGCAAGATTACATTATGTCTCTGTTAGAGATAGCGACCACTGAAATCTTATAGTGCTAAGTACTGCTAAGCTATTAACTCAACTATCTTTTAACCTTATTGTAGTTTTATGTTCTGTGTTTTCTGAATGTCTTGTTCTGCTTTAAAATATTTGTTTCTGATTCATGCATATTTCATATTTTGCTTCTAGCTTATTAACGTGGCCTTGGGTAAATGCATTTCCATTGAAAACACCACAGCCGTTCTGGAAGACTGTGACGGGAGCAGCAAGGTATGCTGAGCAGGGTTCTCTCTCTCATAGTAGGTGCAGTAGATGGTATTGCTATTGCTGGTAAGTGCAGGGTGTGACACATTCATCACTTACTTGAGAAATTTATTTTTGCCTATAGAAACAAAAATTAATTTCTATATAATCATAAAGGTTGGTGATAAGAGGGTCCGCCACTAAATGTAAAGATGTAGGGGCTGAAGTCAGCCCACCAGGAACACAGGTCTGGCTCCATCACTTGCAAAGTGTGTTAATTTTGTAAGTTTCTTAACCCTTAGGAAAATGGCAGTGATGATAGTGCCTACCCTAAAGCTAGAGTGAGGATCGGATTAGGTAATATTATGAAGGATGTAGAATAATACCTAACACTTAATGCTCCACAACTGTTCACTGCTATAATAACAGAGACCAAAAAAGTGAAAAATAACACATTGCATATAAATAAAGAAAAATAAAGTAATAAAGAAAAAGACAGGACATATTTTTAAATAATTAATCTCAGGGAGCAATTTTATTTTCTAATTCTATCCCCCACCTCCATTCTTCTATATCTTAAGGAAATAATGCAAATCATATAATCCATGATCCCCGAAGCAAAACTCCCAGAGATTCAGAACACAGTGATTAAGGGAGGGAGTAGGCTGGGGAGAACAGAGCAGGAACTCTATAGTTCTGGAGGTGAGCTCTGGGGGATGGCACCTCCCTCTCCAACACGTGTTCCCTATCTGTTCTTATTCTGTGGGAACAGTTTCCAGTTTGGATACCAAATAGGACTCATTCAATCCCCTAAAATTGTAGATAACTCTACGGTAGAGAAATTGTTTTTTATGATAATATAGGCTTGCCAAAACTTACTGCTTTGATCCAACTAGGAGATACTGTTATTTTCAAGCACATTCCATCTCTACCTCTTAATTCAAAGCTGCTACTAGAAAAGGCATTTTTGTCATCCCTGTGGCTATAATTCAGCTGCAGATTGTAAACTTGAGGCTAAGGGAACTCTTTCTTAATTAGGAAAGAGAGGACACAGATGAAAGGGAAACATGTCAAAAATCAATGGAAAGAAATAACGTGTGTATTGACAATTCAAAGAGGAAATAATTCACAAATTGTAAAACAAAACAATTAGTCCAAATTATATGAAAGTAAAATCTTAAATAATGCAATCCTTCAAGACTCATTATTTAGTGACTTTGTGGGCCTGATTAACCAGGATTTTATCTGAAAACCCAAGTTCTGGTCTCAATAACCATTGAGTGGAAGCTAGGAGGGAAAGGTATGAATTATGTAATCCCTACCTTCGACAAATGCCCATCTCCCTTTTTGTCTTGTTACTCCTTTTTTAGCTTTTGCTCCTTGTGTTTTGTTTGAGTAAAAGGTAGAGGAGCTTGGTGGAAATTAACTTATTTTTGCCAGGCTTAATGAGACTTAGTATTATCAAGCCAGTGACTATAGCATTTATAAAAAACAAACAAACAAACAAAAACTCAAAAGGAATAAAGCCCAAGGATTGAACCATCAAACCCTATCTTTCATCTTACCTAAAAAGTCTCTTTAGTTAACTTCTCAACCAGTTGAGATGTCCTTTTGCAAGGTAATATCTAGCATCTCTTAGTAGCTACATAGCTTCCTTGCATTATGATATATGTCCATGCTTCCTGTCAATGTAATAAACATCCAAACCGATAGAGAATTTTTATGAGTTTATTTAAACCAAACTGATGGCATATGCCAGGGAGTAAGATCTCAACTGCTCCAGAGAGTAACGGTTTTGCAGTCTCTTCTGTGCATTTGAAACCAAGGAGGGTATGTAAGGAAGATTATAGGAAGGTGGGAGAAAGCAGGGCAGGGACTAGATTACAGGATAAATAGTTCAGATTATGTGCTCTCGCACTTTGGAAACAGAAGTCTAAAAGGGTGGTTGTGTTTTAGAAGGAGAGGTCTTTAAGGGGACATTTCAAAGGTATGTTAACCTAGATGCACAGAAACAATGGACAGAGATGCATGGCAAAGTAAGCTTTTTACTAAAGAACGTACATGCCTGGGGTGTGCCTGCCCACCATAACCTGCCCAGTTAGGAATTTGTGATCAGATCACCTGTGAGGTTACTTTCCATAGAACCCCTTTTTATTCCACATTCTGATTCCATAAGTTCACTGCAGAACTGAGGCTCAGCATTTCCAACTAGCTCCTAGGTGACTGATGATATCCAGGGAGCACCCTTTCAGCAAAGAGGTCTATGCTGTACTTGATCATCTAAGTTAAATCTCAATTACATTATAAATGAATCATTAGATAAAAGCATTTAGATAGATTTTATCAGCAGCCTATTTTTTTCTAATATGTTTACATTGGTACAAAAACAACGAATTTCCCACAGACCCAGAGCCCTATAGTATATTAACCAGACAGATAGAACTAGGTTGTAAATAAATGGAGAAAAATATATAAAGATTGAAAGCATGGTTCCATTACCTGAATCAGTATTTATTTTAGACCTTAATGATTACCCCAAACTGGACTTCTCCAAGAGCAGTTCCTATAATATGGGGGACGCTCACACAATCAGCAAAGAAAGATTTTTAAGATTTCCTCTAGGAGTCCAATTGTCTTCAGGAGTGGGGAACCTTTTTTCTGCCAAGGACCATTTGGATATTTATAATATCATTCACAAGCCATACAAAATTATCAACTTAAAAATTAGCTATGAAAAAACTCCTAGATTTATTGAATTTCGAATCCCGCCTGAGATTGCCTTGGCAGGGCCAGACCAAATGGTTTTCCGCCTCCTGGTGGGATGTTCCCCAGCCCTGGTTTAGGTAGTCTTAAACAAAGAACCATAATAATTTCCACCAAGATCATTTAGGACGGTAACTTGGATCTCCCTGGAGCCCCAATGGCTCAAGGCCTTAACTCTGTGGTAGTTTGAATGTTCTAATACTTCAAGTGCCAGGTTGTCTGAGATTCAGAACCCCTGAAATAGCATTTATGTACAGATAGGTACTAACCGTCCTAAGTTGTATTGTTGCAACTAACATTCACTGAAGGCTTACTGTGTGCTAAACACTTGACAGTCATTACCCAAGCCTTTGAGACAGACACCTTTAAGCTGCTTTCCAACTTAAAATGGAGAGCAATTAGGTTAGACCAGATTAATATCATACTCATACTATCAGAGTTGAAAGTGGCAGTACCAGGATTTAAATACAAAACATCTGACCAGAGTGCCTATATTCTTAACCTTTGCTAACAAAAATGTTTGGCAAAGCCCTTACTTGTGTTTTCTGCCTGAAGTGACCTTTCTCTTACACATTTCTTCCACAGCTTCAACAGTTTAATTACACCTGGTTAAGACTTATTAAACACGAAGAATGGTGCTTGGCTCCAGTCCCTGATAAGGGAGCCCTGAGGCTGCACCCTTGTGATAACAGAAACAAAGGGCTGAAATGGCTACATAAATCAACATCAGTCTTTCATTCAGAACTGGTAAGCAAAATATTTTTATCTCTTCTTTACCACACATCCAACTTTCAACTAAATGTGGCATAAAACCCACATCAGCTAACTCTATCTGAAGTTTTCAATGTGTGACAATAGAGGCAGTGAAAGAGTTCGTACAATGAGATAAACATATTTTTGTAAATTATCAAGTCCCTTTTTTTCCTTTACAAAATTTATTTGAAATCAGTTATTTTAATCAGTTATTTTAAACAGGCTTTATTGGCTATATTGCAATCATCATCTGTTTCTAAAAGTCATTGACTTTGTTAATTAACAATGGCAAAAGTCAGGCTTATAGGCTAAAATTGGTTTGCATTGGTTACCAGAAAAGCGAATAGAGAGCGTATATGGGGAAAGCGAGAAGCAGGGTGCTCCCTACAAGCCCTGCATTTTCGTATGCATCTGGTTCCACGTTCTGCCTCTTCCCAACACAGAGACATTTTTCTCATGCCTTCTGGTTTCCGGAGACCTGGGCTCTCTGCTGGAGCCAGCTCCCACCAGCTTGCAGGAGCTGCTTGTATTCAGTGCTTGCCCACTGCATATTCAGTGATACTGCTTTGGCAACTTAAAATCAACCATGATGGGAGTAGACTATTGACCATTTCTAGGATATCAATAAATATTAAGCAATAATAGAACTCTGAAGTACCTTTGACTTTTTTTCATAATTACATCTGAATTTTCTGGACATCAGGCATTGTGTACTCAGATATCACGGTAGGGAGGTCATTATCTAGCACTTTGTATTCTAAATTTGCATCCTAAGGCACAGACTTAAGAAATTTACCAACTCACTATCTGTGATGGTATGTATTTTGTTTTTTTCTTTTTTACCCTCAGTGAGGGAGCCATCATCCATCATATATAGCAAAGGCCATCTGGTATTATTTTCTTTAAATAATATAGTAATCAGCCATATGATCAGAAAATTGATCTTTGCAGTGTGAGCACTTAGTTTGGGAGAGAGAGACACAATACTATCCAAAGCCCCTGTTTATGTTATTAATTTGGTTCAGAATAATTCCTAAAAAATCAAAAAATGTAAGTACCTATCTTTTTTTTTTTTTTAACTGGTTTCCATATCTTTACATCTCAGTTGTCAAATTCAGTCCATGGCTCATTCCCAGATCCCCTTTCTCTCTAGGTGAATCACATTGTCTTTGGAAACTATCATCAGTTGTTATGCTTGGAAGGAAATTCTTCTCAGAAGACCCTGAAAGTTGCTGCTTGTGACCCAAAGGAGCCATATCAGAAGTGGAAATTTGAAAATTATTTTGAAGATTGAAAAGGAGCTGATGTTTTTATCTAGTGAACCCATTATACACTGTGAAAATGACAGTGAATTTGGTGACTATATTTCTCCATGGTCATTTAAATTTTCAAAATGGATATCACTTGAATGGAAGATTTTTTAAAATCACAATATTTGAGATACCAAAAATTAACTCAGGGAAACAGTCCAACATTGGATTGGAGTCCTTCTTCAGCACTAGGAGTCCTTCTGAATTGCCTGCTTCCTGCCCTGTGCTAACACTCAGCCTATAAGTTTCCCCATGCAGTCTATCAGATACCCAGAAATAAAGGCAGAAGTACTTGGGGGAAGTACAGTGATACCCATGATGACTGTGTGTTGAGTAATAACCAGCTCTTTGGCCCACAAGTAGGTTAAAGCAGTGTGAACCTGGTCCTTTATTTACTACTTTTTCATCCAAAAATTTTTTACTTGAGAAGACCTTATAAACACACAGCTATCACCTTGGTGAAATCCCTTCAGACGACATGCATGTTTACCTTACTGGTTGAAATAGTATTGCTATAATACTCCAAGAGGGCAAGATTTTGATCTAGATTTCTATATAATGCTTTTTATCAGTCTGAATCAGTGGAAAACTTTTTAATTGAGGAAGTCAAAAGCTTATTCAATTCTAGATATGAACATTGTTTCAGTTCATTTTGTGCTTTTAAAACTACACTTAAAATGGTCATACTAGTAACTTCCTAGACTCATGCAAATATTATAAAACTAAATGGCAAAGTAAAAGAGCCTTGATAACAGCACACTGTAGTCATCCAAAATACATTTAATCACTGAACACATACGAAGGCTTGAAATGAAGAAAGCAGAAATAGAGCATTGAAAAATATTAATTTTTTAAATATAAAACACTGCCTTAGATTTAGCAGCATTCATGGGGATGAGATATGCTAAAAATGGACTCTAACGATTTTAAAGTAGAAATAAAATAAACAATGAAAGGGGAAGAGAATGAGGTAAGAATCCTCAAGAAGAAAGGTAAGAAAAAATTGCCCTAGATTTGGCCCAAAAAAGGGGGAGATCTGGCACCTCTATGGGGGGAAAATAATAGTCTTAGATGTGGCCTTAATGGTAACACTGGGAAAAAGTCCAATATTTTTTTGATTCAAACTGAGCCTTAATCTTAGGTATGTCAATACTTAGGCATATCAGAGAAGAGCTTAGAAATCCACATTAATTTTGGTAAGAAAATTGAAACCCAGAAGACATTACCTATCTGAAAATCCCAGGCCAGTTAGTAAGAGAATCAGAATTAGAAATTGCATCTCCAGAGACAATTCTCATTCTATTGCCCCAGGCCACTGTCCTTAATAAATCTGTTCCATGGCATTTCTATAAAAGAGACAGAGAAACCATTTTTCTGGGGTTGGGTGTCTGGAGGATAACCATAAGCATGCTATATGCTTGTTAATATTTTAAAAAATTAAAAAACCTGACAACTTTGTTCAGGTGAGCTGATGATAAACCTGGGCATCTTTTTTTTTTTTTTTTCTTTTTTTAAGAGAGAGAAAGAGAAAGAGAAGGGGAAGAGAGAGAGAAACATTGATTAGTTGCCTCCTGCATGAGCCTGACAGGGGGTCATACCCACGACCTTTTGGTGTATTGAACAAAGCTCCAACCGAGGCACACCGGCCAGGGCTAAACCTAGGCATCTTTAGTTCTGACTGCCTATTTAAAAGTTATTTTTAACTCCCAATTAATTCCACAAGAGCAGAGCGATAACCAAGAATAGGAAGGGGAAACAGTTTTGCATATTTGCATCATATTTGGGATGCTTTTTTAAAATAATTGACATTGCAGATGAGATAAGAGAATGACTAGAAAATGAGATAATTCTTTCAATACAGAGCCAAGTGGGGGAATAAAATAGAAGATGGTTGCCAAATGTCTAATTGAATTGCTGACCAAAGTGAACATGCTGGGTGGTGCTTCATGCAATTCTTCATGAAACTGAAAAATGTTGAAGGGTTATTTTCCCCCAACTTAAAGGCTCTATTTTTATTCAAAAACAGATTCCATCAAAAACTTCAACTCTGTTCAGAAAGAGATGAATTATGTTTTGGATACACTTCACTTTGAGTATAACAGGAGAAATTTGAATGTTTTTCTCAAAAAACCTTCTTAGAGTCTGTTCAGTGTATGCTCTTCCTGACTTTACCTTGACATACTTATTATATGAAGCTATATTTGAATCTATATTGTCAATATAACAAAGGATTATTTTCATACATCACATATTTATTCTTAGGTAGAATTTTCAAACCAGCTTTTAGCATGTATTTGCTCAATTACTCTAAGATGCCAAGAACTAATTACTAGTTATGATTAGTTCTAACTAATTAGTTAGAATAGATTAGACTAGTTCTCTAGGCTTGACCTTAACATTGTTGACTAATTGTAAAATCTGCTACCAACATTTTTTTTAAATGTTGTTTTCAGAAGACTGTAATAAAGGTATAAATTCTACAAGGTCTTCTGATGAGAAACCCTTGGAAGGGACACATTAGGATCTTTATCAGCCCTGAATTTTTCTATAGGGGGCTGTGTTATAGGGGACTTCACAGTTTTCCCTCGATTGGCTTGAGTTACTGCCCTTCTTAGAAAAATGTCTATGCATCTTTTTACCTTAAACACAAGTATAGTTTTTATAATATTTTGCAGGGCTTATTTGACCAAAACCTAACTTACCCAACCATCTGAGTGTTTCTGAGCCTTTCTGTTTGCACAATCTCTTTTTCAACGGCCACCCAAAGCTTCTACCCCACTCTTCCCAAAGGATGGCACAGCTGTTGTTGGTACAACCATGTTTTAGCACCAGAATCAAATTTCCCCAGTTCTGCTTGCTGACATTCAATCAGCTGTCATTCACTGGGCCAAAACCACCATGTGTCGTGATCACAATGCATTGTTAGCTTCTCCACACTAATTTGGAAATATTCTTTTAGATATTAAAACACCTTGCTTGTAGTATGGCGTTAGGGATTGTAGAGGGACAAAGATATAGTTATAATACAGGAATTCAATTTCCCCAGTCAACCTTGATTTCATAAATGGCTTAGAATGATTTTCAAGAGGCTCTCATGCAAGATAATAGAGTCGAAGTGCACCAGATAGTAGCATCTTTATTTATTTTAACACCTCTAATTTAACTTCCACACTCAAACACAAGAAATAGATTATGCCTCAGATCAAGGCCCCAATAACTTGGATAAAAAGGAAATGACAAGGAGAACAAATTATCTTTGAGTACCTACTATGTGTCAGGCACAGCTTGCGCCTCATCTCATTGCCGTGCACAGCTCAGCGAGGTGGGTCTCCTTCACCTCATTACGCAGACAAGAGGATGGCCGAGAGGGGTTGCCTAAAGTCATCCCACTTGGAAGAGATAAAAACCCAGTTTCTATTCTACGTGGCTAAAAAAAAAACAAAAACAAACAGAAAAGAAAACGAAAACAGGGAGACCCTTTCACTATGACATGCTTCTATGATTTCTTTTTTAAGTAGGGCAGTCAGCTCCGCGGGGCTCAGTTGACATCCTTAGGCTGTGGAGTCGAAGCTCTTTGCTTTCTCTTGGGTGCTCCACAGGCAGGAAGTGGCAGCTGCCCCCTTTCTGTTAAACAACTGAAGCGTAGGTTTAAGGACAGCCAGCCCCACATGTTTGCAGCGGTCTGTCTCCCTGACCTCATGCTGGACACATTCTTTTTCATTCTCTGCAACAAATATGAGAGGGGGAAGTGGACATAGCGAGATTGCTTCTCTGTGAATAATATGACCAGCTCTTCTTTCCTCTGACCATTAATCAAAGCTGACAGATTTGAACAGAGGTGGAAAGTGAAAATTTGAGGAGTCCTTTAATTTAAAACACAAACCAAGACTTGTAATTTTTACTTCATCATAGTGTTTTTGTAACAGCTTTTGCATAGGTTACTCAACAATTGCTACAAGCCAAAATATCTTGCAAGAAAAGAAACACTAACAAAAGCTAATGCAGAGAATAATATTTTTGGCAAATAGCCATCTCATGGACACGTTTGAATAAGTCATGTAAAGTATTATATACTCTTTATTGGATGATATTTCAGGTGTTGGTGGTGCCTGTGTCTAAAAGAAAGAAAAGAAAAATACTATCACACTAAGCAGATTTACTACCTCTGTTTTCAACCTAATGAGTCAACTAATAGTTACTACTACAATTAGGGTCTCTTTGCAGGTTTATGTGAGTCTTCACTTTGCAAAAACATGCATGAAATTCTCATTATCCAGCAAATAGGGCAACTGCTCATGTGCTGAGCTCTTAATGATGACAGTTGCCATCGAATAAGTAACAAATAATTTTTGGGGAAACAGAGGCTTTCTATTTTATTATTGGTCGATAGATATTTGCCAGTTTAAGGATATTGGTCATAAATATCTATCTAAAGCTTTTATATAAGATATTGAAACTAAAATTTCTGATAGCACAGATTGTCTTTACTTGACCATTCAAAAACATATCAATCTTTGTAAATATGTGTGCATATCTGTACATATGAATATGTACAGATATGCGCCATAGTTATTTATATGCATATGTACATATATATGAGTCTATATATTTTATGCTTTGAATCAGGAGAAAGTAAAACCAAGAGTTTCTACTTAAAAATAAAGAAAATTAAGAAATATTTTTGGATATTTTTAACTCTCTTTTTAAGTGCATAGCTCTGTCTGCATCTGGCCTTCTGGACAAAAGTGCAGGTGGACTTTCACTCCGGGTATTGTTTTCCATACTTGAAAGGTGTAATCAAACCCTAAATTTTCAAAATGCTTGTTATTCAGGTTAGGATTATACACACGCCTTAATTCCTCTCCTTCAAACAAATGCCCAAATGTTGTTGGCTTTATACATATTAGCTATAAGAGGTGGACATAAAAACAACAGAAGGCAAAGTCAAATTAGTGAATTTTGTTTTTGATTACCTGAAAACATTTGTTAATGGGAGAACTAGATGAAAACTATGGAGTAAAAAGGAATTTGGAGTTAATTTGAACATTTTTTAAGTACCCAATGTTTCTGCCTCTGATTAACTGAAGGTATTGTAAAGAAGAAACCAAACATGTAATATTTGATTTTGAAGTTTCTAAGTAAAAATTCAAATCACTTTCCAAATTCATTTCCAAAAATTCCCCTAGCTAGCAGTTAATTACTAGACATTATCATTTTATTGTGCAGTTTGCCATGTATCTGAGTGACTCCTGCTACTGATTTCTACCCATGTCATTGTGTTTATGTTGAATGTGTGGCCTAGTCACCTAGTGTTCCTCATGAGCTGTGTACACAGTTTAGTATTCATATTTATTATGTTACTATCTGATATTTTCATATTGGCAAATATTTGCTATGACATTTAACCGTACTTTATATAGCCCTTTTGTTTTTTATAAAGCAATGAAAGTTCAGACTTTAAAAGGAGTTGCCTTTCTCATATGGTCAAACATATTTCTTCTTTATAATTCTCTGGTGCTTCATCTTTTTCCATAATTCTCTATTATTACTTATTTTAAATACCTTTCTTATCACTTTGAAAAACTTAAATGTCCATTCGCCATTTGAAAGTGTACCAAAAGTACTACCCCATGTAAATATACAGAAAAAATTATACTGTAAGTGTTGGCATAGTTTACATGTATTACCTTGATGACTATAAAGATATATATGTTTTCAAGTTTTGGAGTTAAGATGCATCTAAAATAATAAATAATAGAAATGTAAAAATAATAGAAAAATTTCATGAACATTACATACTACCCATTAGACATTCTTTGTACAATTTCATATACGATCATTTTAAGACCTTTTGAAATAAATAATGTAAATGAGTTAGAATAAAGTTCTCTTGATTTCTGAAGCAGCATTTATTGATCGTCTTAATAACTGCTGATATGCAAGGGTTCTTTCTCAATTTTAAAGGGCAGCTAAAGAAAATAAAATCTGGGCACCAAAAACAAGCACACACATTTTTATTGAGAGCAAGTCAGACACAGAAGTTCTTTAGTTAATTTGTTACTAGATAGACTGTGACATATTCTATGTCTTCAAAGTTAGCCTTATATTAAGGATGATTTAAAATTGACAGAGAAATAAAGTTGTTATGAATTCCTGTTCACCCAGCAACCAAGGAAAATAAAAAGTCATGTAAGAAATAGCATTCTCACAATAAATCAATTCTCCTTTCTACCGGGTACCAGAGTCCTTCCAACCCTGAACTATGAATCACAAAAGTGGTGAACTTTCTGGTGTAGTTACCAGTTTGTATCTTAATATGCCCCATATGAATTTCAAATATGATAATATCCTTCATGCAGTCTGAACCAGACCCTTGTCTTTCCTAGGTTACAAAGAATCAAACAGCTACCTATCACTGTGACCTTAAAGTAAGATGGCAGCATTGGGCAATGCCAAAGAATAGTTATAGCCCTGGCCAGTGTGGGTCAATTGGTTGAGTGTCCTCCCATGCACCAAGAGGTCACTGGTTCAATTCCTAGTCAGGATACATGCCCAGGCTCTATCCCTGGTGGGGGCCATGCAGGAGGCAGCCCATCAATGTTTCTCTCTCCCAATCCTTTCCTCTCTCTCTAAAATTAATAAAAACTTTTTTCTTTTTTTTTTTTTTAAAGGATAGTTTCAGTGCTCTTTTGCAACTACATTGTCTCATCCAGAAGCATTATGTGTTTACTCATTGAATATACAATCCTGAAAAAGTCTTTGTTGACAAAATCTTTCTGGTTGGTTAATCATCTCATAAAGGAGCACAAAGCTAAAAAGGCCAGGGTTACATATATATATGTTGGAGTCCCAGAAGAGCTACCTGCTTGACCACATCACAGGGCCATAGACCCACCATCACATCATCACCTCCTCTGGAATAATTTAAAATACAGGCTCTGTTGATGGTCGATTAACAATATGGTTCTGTCCTGTGACAGCTAAGACAATACTGAGCTTTGAGGTTAAGTAGAAAACTGTAGGGGGTCATCAGTAATTCAGAAAACAAAATAGGTTGTCCTGATGGACAGGTTTAGAGGATTTAAATAAACAGGAAATTGTCCTAGTGCATCAATTTTCTACCTAAATTTATCAGTAAAGACCTGATTTTCCTAACTGTATTCTGAAAACTTGACTTGTCAAGAAAGAAATCTACAGGTTAAGGGTGTCAGAACATTTATATGGTCAATTTGCGAAGTATCTGTTTGAAAGAATAAGAGGAACACTGTGATCTTAATTTAAAATTTAGTCTTGTAACCACTAAATAAATAGTATATGATACTATGGAAATATATGACCAGGAAGAATTAAAGAAATTGCCATTAGAATGTGTGGGAATTTTTACACATAAATAAGCAATAAACTAAGAAGGGCTAAACCAGGGTATTTTACAAAATGAAAAAGAAATAAACAAAGGGTTGAAGAGTACAATGAAGACTGTATTACATTCAGACAATAAAGAATTGTCTTTTTATTTGCAGGGCCAAAAAATATATTTTCTGTGGTGACAGAAAATACTGGATAATATATATGGAAGCATGAAATAAAAAATTATGAAACTATCTAAGAAATCTATATAAATACAGACTCTCCCTTTGCATAAATATTCAATACATTATTTGACACATTGGTTTGATGAAACTCCATAAGCACAATTTTAAGCATCTTGATTTTGGCTGAGGTTCAGTAAATTATATATTCCCAACAACTATCAGGGCTTTCTCACTAAAAATGCATGCTCACACTCCACTTTGAGAATATTCTAAGATAATTATTTCCATTTTCATAATAACTAGTACAGTTATGACTAGAGTTGTCTCAGGTTTCTAAGGAAAGAAAATTATTCTGAGATATTATTAATAAGGGAAAGTGTGATCATAAAGAGGAGGTATTTTCTTTAAAATGTGCTAAAGCTCTCATTTTCATTCTTAATTACTTCAATTTTGCTAGACAATATTTTATTTTCTGTCACAGAAATAAAACTATCCAATATAACTCTTTAGTCTATTGCCCACCAATCTTATAGCCTCTCCCTGTACCAACCTCACAATGGATGTAATTCATCTTGAAAGCATAAAGGCAACATTCAGTAAACAGAATTCTCCTGACTAACAATCGCTCCGCTCCTCTGGTGAGGAAATTCAGTGAATGGTAACACTGAGGAAGAAGCCTATACAGAATTTTCACTCTGCAGGTGCCAAGAAAACCACTTAAAACATTTTTCGAAGATAACAGGAAAGGCAAAGTATTTTGAAAAGTTTATTGCCAGAGTCTATAAAATAGTGTTTAAAAGTTAAGAAAGGGTTAACAACAGACTTTCTAATCCGCCTCAGGTATAGGGAGAAAGACCCCAAAAGAAATATAGGAATCATCTCAAACAGGTCTCTTTCATTTAATGACTGCATTTCCCAGCACTGCTCCTTTATAAAGCCAAATCGTGCCAGATTTCCCAGGGGCTCTGGCTGTTCAGGGCTTATCACATAATGCTAGGTTAGTGAAGTTTTAAAATGCAAATGTCCGCTAATGAATGTAAAGGGTTTTGGTTTGAAGCTACCGGCCTGACTTTTGCCTAGGGTTATTTCCACACTCTCCTACAGCGAAACAGCAAGAAAGCTTCCACACCTCTAAGGGGGAGAGCCGAACGAGGCCTTCAAGGAAAACAGAATTAGCTTTTGCTTTAGGCGCCTGAGGACGTCTCAGATCCAGTTGGGTTATAAATGCAGCATAGACTCGAATTCATCAATTCTTTGCTTGGTATTCCCCTTCCTGATTTTCCGGTAGGATATTGTATTGTATCTGGAATAAGCATTTCTGGAAATATCACCCTTCTTCCCCAAAGCTGGCTGCTCATCAGGCGTCACAGGTTGGGAGCTGGGGCTGCTCAGTGGGGAGTCCTCACTTGGGTCACCTTCCTCTTTTATGCGAGAACCTTCTTCATTTTTTCCCCGAAATTCTATCACTCGAACTTCATCTTCATCATCATCTTCATTGTTCGTTTCTTCGTCCCAAACCCCTTCCTCTTCGTGGTGCAGCACAGGGACTTGGCGAGGTTTCCGAAAGCCCAGCCACTCGATTGCCGTCGCCTGGTAGACTGTGTGCTTCCTGCCCTCGCCTCCTCTCTCCCCCAGAGGCTGCCCCGCAAGCTCGTCCTTCTGTGCGCTTGCTTCCTGGCTGCTGCTCCGAGGAATCTTCTTCCACTGATGCCCTGGAGCAAAACCAATTGGTAGTTGAGATGTGCACAGGTTTCCAGATACTCAGGTGTCATTCTCCAAATTATTTTCCTGGACAACCGTTCCCCCACATATGTTTTATGAAATATTGTTTTGTGGGTCATGAATATTTTATACAATACAATGGGCTATTTCATCAAACTAGGTTGGAAAACACTGCATTAAACACAGTTAAGCAAGCGTCTTCAGAATTTATCCAAGCCTTTTAAATGCTAATGAATGTTGTAAACCTCCTAGAAAGTGGGCCACTCAGCCTCACTTGACTATGGATTTGTTGTTGTTGTTGTTGTTGTGGATACTGTATTGAGTGAGGCTGTATCCCCTGAGAGATACACTTCTAAAAATCTTGTCTAGACTGTCATGACTGGATGTGAATATGTAAAAAAAATATTTGGACCTATATCTTACACACACACACACACACACACACCTCAAGGAAAATTAAAAAAAAAAAAAAAATCTCCCGGGGAAAAAGTGTTTTCTTCCAATAATAAAAACAATGACTGCCCACGTCTTGTCATGCTCAGAGTAGCACATTCAGTATTTGCAACCACGCTTCTCAGAGTTGGTCTAAAGTGCCAGCTGCAGGAGGAGGAGAGGAGCACAGATGGTCAGAAATCATAAGCTGAGGCTAAGTCAGACCCACCAAAGCACACAAGCTTTAGTCTAATACCTGCCATGAATTCCTATAGAGCCAAGATTTAAAAATAATATTGAGGTCATGTCTACGGAGTGCTAGGTTGGCCTGTTGTTTTAGACATGTCCCTAATGACAATTAATTAATTTAAGTTGTTTGGTCCCATGTTATGACTTAATTCATTGCAAATTTCTCTTTACAAACAGATCATATCAGGATATTCTCAACAATATTCATTGAGAATTCAAAAAAGTATTAATTATAAGAGAGTAGAGGTAGTTCTCTGAGCTTTTGCTCCAGCAGACTTGTGTGGGAAGCTTCAGTCTGTAATGTGCATGATTCAGGCCTGGGTTCACTGTTCCCTTTCAACACTATATGAGTCTTTAGCTAAAGTGAGGGACGACGTTTCTCGTTGCCCTCCCTTCCACAAGTTTCTATTTTCACTGAAAGATGTTCACAAGTTCATTCCCATCAAAGATTTTTCATTCTCTTTTTATTTTATGTTTTCCCAACTATAGGAATCAAATTGTAAACTTACCAAAAAAAAGATAGAATTGAAGATGGATTATTACTTCTAACTAGTTTTGAACAGGTGCCCAGCCCATGTTCTTCACACTATGAATAAATATGCATTAGAGCGTTGAGCTTTGATTTGTTTTCTTTCCCACAAGAATCAAATAAAATGATCTTTTTGCTCATATTCAGGACTCAGGTATGGAGTTGTCAGGCATAAAATTACTTGTTGAATTTAAATGATAGGTTTTTCCTCAATATTTTTAGCATCTTTCTATTTTTTTAACCCAGGAGTATTCTCTTTGGAGACTTTATAGCTGCTTGCCATTGTGGGGAAAAAGACAACAAAATGTATACCTGTAGCTTACAGAAAAAACATGTGTTCCACCAATCACAAAAGGATCCACTCAGGGCAAATTCACCCTGAGACCCACCACTTTAAAGATGCAGACTACTTTTGTTCTCTGTTTGATAAAAATGAAAGACCCTAGAAAACTATTGTCTCCACTGGGCTTCTGGATTAGAAATTTGAAAGGGGCTCTAGGTGGAAGATTGAGATCCTTGCCTTCAAAAGCTACACTGGAAGCACAAAGATTAGGGCAAAGAGATTTAGCTCATTTCATAGGGGCTTAAGTCTGATAAATTACCGGTGATACTGTAAGAGCTTGGCAATGCCTGCTGCTTACTACATTCTTCCTTAAGTGTCTACACAGCAGACCACTGCATGTGGCCAGCAGACAGTCCGAGAGGTGTCCAGGCAAAGTGGGCAAACCCGGGAAACTGCCAATCACATCCATGTCTTCCTTGGAATCTACTATTTTATGTGATGTTCTAATAATTCAACCAATAATCTTGTCAATATTTTTTCTAATAAGGTCCTAACTAAACTAAATTGCTTAGGTCTAACAAGCTGACTTCAATTTTGAAATAAGACACTTATGGCTGCAAAAGAAGACATAAATGATTAATTAATAGATTTTTATCTTTCTCTGTATTTGGAAATTCCTTGAGTGTAAGTGTCTCCTTAGAAGAGAAGTCTAAAAGGTTGTGTGTCTCTTAGTCTCTTGAGTTTATTTAAAATATAATATATTCACTTAAAAATTAATGTTATTTTTATTTTCCCATTTTCTGGGGGAAAAAATTAAAATTAACTTTATCACCTGGGAAATTTCTTTGACAAGAATTAGGTAACCATTCTGTGTTTATATGAGAAGCCTGGAATTTACCTTCAGATCAAATAAATGTGTATTATTTTAAACTGCATGTAATGGTAAATTTTTAGAATAAACCCATTTTGGAAACATTTACACTTAACAAGTTGCCTCACACAGATTTGGAGATACTAAATAAAAAAAATTTTTTTAAAGGTTGATTTAGTGGACTAACTTATTAAGAGACAGATGTATTGTCAGGTCAAAGTGTGCCAATCAGTTATACCAATCCATGCAGTCTCAATCTTGAAGCTTCTAGAATACTTCCTAAGGTTGGAACCCACAGATAATCAAGACTTCCTCATCTGCCTATAGAAGCTTTGAGTTTTGGAAGACATTGTCTAGATTGCTTTCTCAACACCACACTCACACAACATCCCATGCCATAGCTGTCATCCATATTTAGTCAAACAAATTCTGTGTACAAAATGGAGATAATTGCCTCTTACCTTCTCTGAATGTCATTTCATCGACACTTGTTTCTTGGAGAGAAAGATCTGTGATGGCCTTATGAACAATAAAGAGATTCTCTTCTGGTTTTTCTGGGAGAAAAAACACACAAGATTAACATTTTAATACTTAAGTAGTTCAAGGTTAAATACGTTAGTAATTTAGACTCTAAGGAGATTCTATGATTTTTAAATGTGATCACTAAAAATAACTATTTTATCCTTCCATCTCATTTTTTCATTGGTTCCTTTTATTTATAAACATAACGATAATCTTCCTTTAATATCTAAGATATATAAGCATTATTCGAACACTTTATGGTATATAGAGAAGGAAAACTTGAAATTCTGAATTCCTTTTGCTGAAATAATAATGGGACTGTCCATAGAATAATAAATAACAGTAGCTAACATTCAACCAACACTGAGTAAGCCTCACAACAACCCGACAAGCGTCTGCCCTATTATTCTGCCTTCTCCTGGAAAACGAAGTCTTTAAGAGGCTAGGAAAGTTGTCCAGAGTCACAGAACTATCAAACAAATAAGTATGAATTTGACCAGAGGCAGAGGTTTTGTCCTTATGCTATGCAGCCCCAGTAGGAAAAGGGGCCACATTTGGGCAAGGATAGGGCAAGAATGTACAGCTCATTCTTGTCATAAGAGTTTATTGAAAGAACCCTGAGTGAGTTTATAAATCAAATCAAGCAAATGAAAGAGAAGGAAAAGGTTTTACCTTTAAGAATCTTCTCATCCTTGGACCAGTTGAGCAGCATCTTCCCTTGTAATTTTTCACTTTTCTCCTGGTTTCCTTCTGTGGGTAAACCTTCAAGACCAGGTTCTACCCTGTAGTGTGGTGGGGTGCCATCCACATCACTGACTTCATTTGTCTTGGTGATTGGTCGGTTACCGTTTTCAGGTGGCGTATCCCCATTACACTCAACCTGGCTGAATGTCACTGGAACATCTGTCATGATGGACAGTTGAGTCCGACTTAGAGGGAGCTTTGGGGAAACTGAGTAAACCAATCCTTGATAAGTCCTCTTGCCTTCAAGTCCTATAGTTCCAACTCTTACTCCAAGAATACAAATTTTTTACTTTAGTACATAATAACAGCTTCTTTTTCTAAAGGTGCCCAGATAGAGCTTAGAATAAAAGCAATAGGAGTTGTCAGATTTGCCACCAGCCCAGGAGCAAGAACCAGGCCAATTGCCACCTTCTTTGTTGCTTAGCAGTCCCACTTGCAGAATTAATGGCTGCCTTTGATTTACATAAACAAACAATTGGAGGCAATCAGGCTTTTGTGTTGGCTTGTAGAGGGGGACTTTCAGCTTGTCAGTCCCCCTCTGGGAACAGAGATTTTTGTCCCTTTTCATAATGGCCCTTTGTCATTTTCCTTGTAACAGGAGCCACAATTGTTCCACAGCTTTAATCCAGAGAGAATGACCACCTTGAGGCATATTAGTTCTGCAAAACCAGCTTAACATTTCCAAACAGATTTTGTTCAAGTAAAATCTCAGCTATTTTGTAGGGGACAATGGCATCGTTTCTTATTTATTCAAGAATAAAAACAGCTTATCAAAAACCTATAAACAGGACAATTTTATTATAAGCAGTTCTGGCAGCAGATTCCATGCTTTGCTTTCAGGAGCCCAGAGAAGGGACCTAAGAAAAAACAAACAAAAAATTCTGCCATCTTGCTAATACCAGAAACGTTACTATTTTAGAATAATGCATTTGGTCTATAGTTTCTTATCCTCTAGTTTATTTATATCTACTGAAGCTCAATCCATCCTTTAAAACCCTAACATAATTTATTGCATGAAGTTTTGCCTCCCCCCAATCAGATATATTCTCTCTATTCCCTACTGATATTGCATCATGCTGGTGAAATTATATAGCACCAACATAGTCTGCCCTTAGGGGAGACAGGTGATTATGTAAAACATCTGCTACGACCACACTTCCCTTTTTGAAGACATGGATTCTTTTTCTTTTTTGGATCTCATATAGTGCAAAATGATCCCAGAGCCTTTGTCCATGATGCAGTCCCCCCTCCCCCAGTGCCTTCTCTTCCTCAAGGCCAGACCCCTGTCCTAACCAGGTCCTCTAAGTTCTCAGCTCTGAAGCTGAAATACCTTTTCTTTAATGACACTTTCCCTGACCCAGAATCTTTATCTGGGCTGGAAGCATTTTAAGTTCCTTATATGTGTCCACCATGTACCATTTGCCTTGAACTAAGTAATAATATAATAATAAAATGTTATTGAATAAATGAATAAATTTCACTCCCAAGAGAATACATTTTAGATCTTTTCTAAAGAGAAGAAGAGAGGTTGGATAGTAATTATAAATATATCACCTTTAAAATTATATCTAGGGCTGAGCTCACTAAGATCTATGTCAAGAATGACAAATGCATGACACTGGTCTCACCCTTCTCCTAAGTACTTGAGGACATCTCTAATAGATCCTAGAATTCTCTCCTTTGTCATCACTAGCTCTTCTCTACCCAATTACTAGTCTGTGTAGGAGAGGAAAATAATTTTCACTCTTCTGAGTTCTTGGCTGAGGCCTTGTTATAAAAGACATAAACATGAGAAAAATGAACCGCAGCTTATTAACATGGGTACCTCACATATACATAGGAGATACCAGGGAAACTGAGTAACTCCCTAAGATAGCCCAACTTAAATACCACTTTCAACTAAAGACAAAGGAAAGAAAGGTGTGTAGGGGTGTGGGGTGTGTGTGTGTGTGTGTGCAGGAACAGTTATGAGCGATTACCAGAAAAGCACAGTAAACAAGGGCAAAGTTTGTTCTGCAATTTTTATGCCTTCTCCAATGATAAGATTCTCCTGTGGTTTAGAGTCATCTTTCTTTCCCTGGTACAGAGAGGGGGACACACTTACAGAGATTTTCTTTATCAATGTCCATTTCCCCCACAAAAGGGAAATGTTCCTACATACTCTGATTTGTTTTCAGAGCTTCTTCGGTGTCTGCTGTTTCTCAAAAATAATTGGCTCAATGTAATCCTTATACCAAAGAGACATATTTTGGGGTGGCATAGTCTGTTACCCTTCAGTTGTTTGTTCTTAATTTGTTTGACAAACACTTATACAGCACTTACTATATCCCAGGCACTATTCAAATTGCTTCACCAATAGTAACACATTTGATCTTCATAAAAATCCCTGTAAAGTAGGTACTATTTAGAAAAGTGAAGCACAGAGAGATTAAGGAACTTGTTTTAGGTCATACAGCCAGAAAGCCTACCAATGAGAGTTTGCAGCATACATCAAGCCAAGTGCCATCGCTGGCCGGGGTGCTGGTGTTTCCTTTGGTCATAAGTCCCACTGGGCTCCAGCTTGATGAATTAACCACCCTGGCAGCAAGGTGTACAAGAAGAAGTTGTAGCCTGGAAAAAGCAGCAAAGTGCCTGAGGTGATATCAATCCCCTCCTAAGATACACACTCCAGCTGCTGAGGACAGTGTTGGGAGGGCCAGGGAGCTTCCTGTCACCAGGAATAACATGGTTAATCACTTAATTCAAACATTAGAATCTGGTGCTTGAGGCCCAGGTCAGTCCATCCCACTAACTCAGAGCAAAAACAGCCCAGGATCTAAGGCAAGAAGGTAACAGCGCATGGAATTAGATGGGAAAATACAGAAACCAACACCAAAGCTAGGGACACGTGGGGATGTACTAGACTGTGAGATTCTTAAGAGCAGAAAGTGACGCTATTTTACCAAATCCTCAACAATAAACATACAAACAGAGAAATGCACACATTAGCCTTGAAGACCTGTCTCCAATCACTCTCAGTTCCCTTGAGACTGCCAAGCACTTCAATTCAGGAACACAGCAGTGTAATAAGTTGAGTTAACCTCTCCCACCCTTAGATTTCTATGACCCTATAGCAACTTGCAATTTATACCTCTGGCTTAGCTTTCATGGGAGTTTAATTTTTTAATATCTTTTTTTCATGCCATGCTTTGACCTTTGTTTTCTGGCATTAGAATTACTTCAGATTTTGAAAGATAGAAAGATGCTCCAGAGTTCCATCATCATCAGTCAACCAGTGCGTTTACCTCTATAAAAAGCAGTGTTTTATGCTGTACTACAGAGCAATGGAGGTCAGGTCACCGGTTTGCAACATGTATTATTTTCCTACAAGCAGGTGGCAATACGAGATGCATTTACCACCAAGATGAGTCTATCCAACTAAAAAATAAAACATAGGATATTTCTTTAAAGAAGTAAGTTGCCACCCATTGTTTGTAACAACCTATTACTTATAAATTATGTTCGAATTTGGACTAATGATCCTTAATTCAAATACTATTGCATAATCTCCACTGAATGATTTACTGGATTAGTTGTTTTTTTCTCTAGTTATTATACTTAATAGTAAAGGACATCATATAAATGTAACAATTATCAAACCTATAACAAAATATGATAATGAGTAGATCTTCACATGGGAAATAAAATTCTGTAAATATCCACATTCCATTCATCAAATGCCAAATGATTAATGTTAAGGCTATATTAGGTCCAGAAACAAGATCTGAGGAAAAGTCATAAGCTCCTGACCTTTAATAATATGTAAATAGCCAAGCTACAAGTTAATGGTATAGCTCATACAGTCAATGAGCACTGAATAAAAACAATAAATAAATTTAAAAGATCAGTTTTTTTATCCTGGCAACTTGGGTCCAATGTTTATACAAACAGAGATTTGCATATTTGAGACAGGAGTATTGTATCAATCAGGGTTGACACAGAAAGGTAGAACCACTAAAAGATCTGTTTATCTGAGGGGATTTGACCTTACACAATTGTGGGTTCTACTTAAACTAAGTCTGTTGTCGTGTCTGGTGTTGGAGTTTGAAGTCTACAGGGCAGGAAGTGGGAAGGAAAAATGGATGTATAGGGCAAGAGCAAGCTGGAGACCCAAGAACAAACTGGAACACACAGGGGCAAACTGAGGCTTGGCAAGGAAGGTGGAAGCCCCACAAAATAAAATCCTTTCCCTCTCTTGGTCATAATATTGAGAGTATGCCATCTCAGATGCATAAGGGAGCACCCACAATGAGCTGGGCTCTCTAGAGCTTTAAGCCAAGCAATTATAATTCTGACTTACTCACAGTGGGATTTTTCTTAATACATTTTAATGGAAAGAATGGTTTCTCTGTTCACAGAGACCTTGTGTTAGCTAGATAGAAATGGAATTTGTGCAGGTGTTCATAAAACCACAGAGAGAGAATTTTGAACTGTATATGCATACATACTCTTTGGTAGCTTGCAAACATTTTATAATCCTGGGGAAGCAGAGCTGAGTGAAAGTAATATCACTGTCAGCAGCCTCCCTCTTAAACGATTTTGAATGTCCCTAAGAGTTTAAGGCAACATGTTGTTTTTCAGCAGAGAAACGCAACAAAATAATTAAACACATTTTTCCTTAAGGAACAAAGGAAAACACAAGTCCTTTCTGATTTTGCAAGAAGGTGAGAGTGATGTGACCATGAAAAAAAATACAGCTTCTCCCAGATGCCTCTGATAACTTAGCTCAGTAAACTGAGGGAAAGCAGGAAAAATTCACATGCTCTCGGCGAGGGAAATACATCTGTAGATATATTAGAATCTCTCACATAGGCTTTGTGTTGAATCCAAGAAAGGAATATTGGACAGCTGTACTCCTGACCTTTAGATGAGAAGAGCAATGACTTTAAAGCTCTAGTTATTGATTAGCTTACTGACCTCCAAGAACTTGAAGCCAGGCAGAAAATGTGCTTCAGGAGCTGTGCAACTCAGACCCGTGGGAGCAGAGCAGCACACTCAGCGGGGGCCGCGCAGTAAATTGAGCTTCTCAGAATTGTTCATGTGGGCCGTTGTCATAGTCTTCACATCGGTCTCCACCTCCAGTCTCCAACCCTCTGTCCCCCGCCTCCAAAATGAGATAATTATAAA